GGCCTTTCCCTATGGGGTGAGATGGTCACAGCTTCTGATTGGCCTTTCCCTATGGGGTGGGGTGTTAGCTAGGGGAAAAGGTCAGAGGCAGTCGTTGCCTCTGATTGGGCCTTCCCTGTGGGGTGAAGAGTTCATGGCTCTCTCTGTAGCTAGGGCAAAAGGTCAGAGCAGTCAGGAGGTCAGGGGTGGTGGTGGGGCTTCCTGCTCAGGCCTCTTTGCCATGGCTGCAGTTCTGCGGAGGCCTGGGTCTCTCGTTCACTACATGCGTGTCTGGTGCCTGAGGTTAGAAGAGTGCATCAAATCCCCTGGAACTGGAGCTACAGATGGTTGTGAGCTACCACGTGGGTTCTAGGAATTGAACCCAGGTCTTCTACAAGAGCAACACATGCTCTAAACCAATGAACTATCTCTCCAGCCCCAGAAGCTACCTTTTAAAGCTACTTTGCTTTTGCATGAACTTGTTCTCCCAGAAACACTTTAGGATGAGGCAGAGTGGCGTAACATGGCCCCAGACCTTAGCACAACTGACTCCATGATGAACGTGCCATTCAGGCTGTAAAACTTACCATGTAGACAGCACCACCTGTTGTTGGTTGTTTTTTTACTTTTGGGAGTCCCTCTACCCAGCTGCCAAATAAATCACACCTAGTGTCTTATTCTTACTTATAAATGTCTGGCCTTAGCTTGGCTTGTTTCTAGATAGTTGTTTTTTTTTTTTAACTTTAAATTATCTCATCTACCTTTTGCCTCTGGGCTTTTTCTTTTTGTTACTTATGTATATCTTACTTTCACTCTTACTCCATGGCTGGCTGTGTGGCTGTGTGGCTGGCCCCTAACATCCTCCTCTCTTTGTTCTCTTGCTCTTTCTTCTTTCTTCTCCCAGATTTCTCCTTCCATTTATTCTCTCGGCCTACCAGCCCTGCCTATCCTTTCTCCTGCCTCGCTATTGGCCATTCAGCTCTTTATTAGACCATCAGGTGTGTTAGACAGGCAAAGTAACACAGCTTCACAGAGTTAAACAAATGCAACACAACAGAATACAACACGTCTTTGTATCATTAAACAAATGTTCCACAGCATGAACAAATGTAACACATCTTAAGATAATATTCTGCAACAACCACCAGCCAAAATGAAAACAAAAATCTAATCCATCAAAGTCCGTGATTCTGGGGCAGTCTCTAAATGGACTAACCTTGCATTTTGGCTTCTGTAGTCCCACCTCTGGCTAACTGTTCTTGTTAACTGAAGTGTGTCAACCCAGGACATGGCTTTTGTGCTCAAAGCTCACCCTGAGAAAGGCTTGGAGCTATACTAGATAGAATCCCTAACACCCAGTGTAGTTACTGCAGACTAACACAGACTTTCTCTGAGCTTAAACCCACTTCTGAGCATGGATACCCCAGGACAGTGGAACTATGGAAAGAAAAGATTACAGTCTTCCTCACCTTCCTGAATGCTACCATCAGCCACCCAGAAACTGCACATCGGCACCCAGGACTGGATGCTCCCCACCTTATCCATTACTGAGCTTTTTGCTCAGAAAAATCTCTGCGGGCTGCTCACCTTTCCATCCACGTCACCCCCTTGCCACTGGGCCTACAATAGCGTTTGCCAAGTGTGAACCTGATCTCATCCCCACTTGTCTCCTACCACTTCCTCCCAGAAGTCTGAAACCCTTTCAAAGGTTCCTTTGTTCTGGGAACTTCCAAAGGGGCCAACAAGGACCCACAGGGTTTGCCCCCACCCCGCCGCCCCCAAAGGCTCTTCAGCCTCATTTTGATCCTCTCACCTCCCTTCCTCCACCCCCTCAGGCCTTTTTTCAGACTTGCCTTTATCCCGCCTGCTTCTACCACAATTCCTCAGCACACAAGCTCTCTCCTACCTAGAATTCTCTGCATCTCCATCTCCCTCCAGTTAGCCCCAGTCAGGTTTGGTTCCTGCCGGTTCCCCAGGAAAGCCTTCTGGGATACACTGAAGGCTTCTTATTGGAGGAGGCTTTGATGTCCAAACTAAGATCACCAAGCATTGGAGGAGGAACAGGTGGCTCTGAATTGGGATCCCTGAAGAACCGGGTAGGAACCTCTGACAAATGAAAGATGCTTGTGACCCACTGGACAAGGCTGGAGGCTATTCTGGGGCAATAACGAGCCTCCTAGGCTGACTGCTTGGCTCCGAGCCAGCTCCATACCCAGTGTCTGGAGGCCAGGCATGCCCAGAGCAGGCAGGTCTTTCACATGTACTCTGAATGCTGCCTTTGTTTTGGAGTTCAGGCTACTGAGGGTGCCAAAAGATTAAGTGATTTATCATTGCTATCAGAGGCATGTGAAACTCAATTCCTCTGTACAGAAGTGGCCGGCCCCTCCCCCACTGATAGGCTGCCAGAAGGCGGATTGTCCTCCACCACATTCTACTTCCTTAAAATCCAAGAGACACAACCTTAGTTCGAGTGAGGAACAATAGTTACCAATTGGCTAAACAAGCAACCTTTGGCTACAAATTTGCTAATTTTTCAGCCAAAAACTGGCTTTTACCCTAACAAAGTTTCTGATTTAAACCATCAAGTTACTGAGAGCAAAGGGGATTTGAAGCCTCTTGAAAGGGCTTTTCGATATCTTGGCCATGTGGTGGAGCAGGCCTTTAATCCCAGCACTCCTGAGGTGGAGGCAGAGGCAGGTGGATCTCTGAGTTCAAATCCAACCTGGCCTTCAGAAGCAGAGTCAGTTCCAGCACAACCAGGACCTCACAAAGAAACCCTGTATCGAAAACTGAAGGGAAAAGAAAAAAAAAAAAAAAAAAAAAGGACCTCTCTTTTGAGAGCTGATTTCAAAGATGGTTTTGTTTAGTGGCGTATCTGCACATCCCATTGAAGGGAAAAAAAAAAAAAAAAAAAAAAAGGAAATTGCTTTACATTATTTTTGGCCTCTGAGCAAATACTTTTAATTTTTGTATGCAATATGGAATTCCTCATTGCCTAAATCCTGGGCTATGAACAATTAATTTTAGAACTCTCAAACAATAACATACTGTCCTGATCTTAAAACCAGGATGATGCATTTTGCTTTTCAGAGCTATTGGACCGGTTAATCTTGTTTCATTCCAAAGCCCACAGGGAAGGTTGCTAGGGCGGGTACTTTATTCCAGGTGCCTGCCATACCTCAGTTTCTTCCTCCGTACAACAAAGAACCGGTGTGATGGGGCTACACTGTGAGGACCGAGTGAATTCCTAAGCAAAAACACCAGTGTCTACAATGCTCACTGAACTCATTCCCATCACTGGAACCGGCGCTGCATCCTGGGAGCTTGCCAGGTTCGGTATCACAATCAAGTTCAGCTTCCTATCTGGAGAGGTTCCCCATTTCATTGTTAAGACTATTCCCCGTGCACGGCAGGTCTGTTCTTCCCATTACTCACGCCACACACACACCCTGTCCACTCTTGTACCTTCTGCCCCACCCAAGCTTTGTTGGTGTTCCCTTTGTAGTCTTCTCCCCGCTCCTAATTTCACGTTTTTCTTTCTTGTCTGTTCGATGAGAAAGAGCCCTGCCGACCTAGCAATCACACCACCATCTTCCCGCCCCAGCAGGAAGACTCCTAGAGCATGCTGTCTGTCGTTACTAAGAGCTTTGAATTTGGTCGAGATCTGGGTTTAGGTACCATGGAAATTAATAACTTAGATGCTCCTTAACTTTATGAGTTACTCTTTGCTGGCCACTGGCCATGCCACTGGAGACCACAGGGCAAACCACAGTTTTAAGGTGCACTGAGAAACACCAGGATATAGTAGCTAGAGCCGTCAGAGGCACAAGAACTTCTTGGGGAAGGTACATACGAATGTTGTTAGTGAACAGATTCTGATTCATACAGAAAACAGCCTCTGTTTTTTAGTGGAGGTGAAGATAGAAGCAGATAGTTTTGATTAGTATATGATCATTTGAAAAACAGAAATCCCACCTGCACAGAGCCATCACCACATCCTCTTACCTGGAAAGCAGGTAACATGGGAACATATTACCTATCTCTATGTAGCAAGAATTTCAAATATTGACTGGCATCAGTTTCTAGAATGCTTTTATTTTTTTTCTAGGGTAGGGAGGGTGTGGATTCCTCAACAGAAGTCCCAAAGGCTAGCATTTGATAACCTTCTCCCTCACCAGCTGCAGAGGGCATGTCAGAGGGCGGGCCAGGGTCTCCTTCCCAGCAGATTTCCTGGCAGTGTTGGGTACAGAACAGCCTTGATGTTTCAAAACAACCACACCCATAACTACGTCTTAAGACTCTTCAAGATGCTGAAGGTTTGGAACAAGGGGGAAACACGCCAATCAGTCTCTAGAATCAGGCCTCTCAGAGCTGGACGGCTCCACATACCTTCCTGTCCAGGCCTGGCCACGGGCCTAGATTGTGATGACCCCTCTCTTCAAAACCACAAAGCTCAAGTAACCTCTTTGTCATCTTTGAAGGGAGACTAGGAAGTCATCGCCAGAAGAGCGCACAGAGCAGCTCCCTCAGAAACAAAGCGCTCCTCTCAGAGCCCACGGAGAGGTAGCAGCAGAGCTTTCTAACACTGCTTCCAGGCACTAGAAAGGCCATCAGGTGGTGCTTACGTCCTCTCAATCATGGGATGGGTCACCATTAACTTAATACTTAGGAATCAAAACTAACAAATATTTGGGTAGTTCTAGGGCTTTTCTCAGATACATAAAAACAGCTATAAATTTGTGTGAAAATAGGGAGACAGAGGCAGGCGAATCTCTGTGAGTTAGAGGTTAGCCTGATCTCTAAGGAAGTTCCAAGACAGTCAGAAATGTTATACAGAGAAACTCTGTCTCAGGGGGGAAAAAAAAGAAGAAAAGAAAAAGTCAGGGTGGTAGTGATGACTCACGCCTTTAATCCCTGCACTTGGGAGGCAGAGACAGGCGGATCTCCATGTTCAAGACCAGCCTGGTCTACAGATAGAGTTCCAGGGCAGCCAGGACAATGTACGTACTTTAAAAAAAAAAAAAAAAAAGACATACCTTGTTTATATTTTCCAACTAGTTAAGTTATGAAAACTTACATCCTGAAGCAGGGACTGTGGCTGACAATTTGAGGGAGGGAAGTGGAGTGCATCAGTCTGGGTGGGAAGGAAGCTAACAGTGCAACAAGCCATTTCAAAGGGAGCATGGAGCAGGTCGGGAAAAGAAGTCCGCTGGGATGGAGGTATCTCTGGAGCGTCTGCTTCCAGTGTTGACACAGAAACACAACTTAAGATCTCAGCTCCTCAGCAGCAAACTCTCCCCAGGACATCTGTCCCCATGTCCTTTTCCCTTCTCTGTGTCATGACCAAAGTCAGGAGACTAAAACATCACACACACACACACACACACACACCCGCCCCACTCTGCTGGCTGCAGCCTGTGAGCAAGGTGAAGGTCACATACACCTCTGGTATGTGAGAAATAAACTCTTTGCAGCCTGAGGAATCAGAACTACCTTCTTCTACCTTTTTTTTTTTTTTTTAATGGCCTTTCCTTTAAAGTCCTCCAGCCAGTGGGGGGCAAGGCAGTGTTTTCACCTGGGCCAAAAGGTTGTGGAATTCCTCCACCGCCTGTGTGTGGGCCACCGGATTCAGCACCAGGTGCTGGAAAAGATTGACGGGCTCAGCATTCCGGAATGTCTTAGGGATGGGTATGGTCAGGGGCAGGAAGGTGTTACCAATGAGGAAGTGATGGAGAGACCGCTGCTGGAGGCCTCGGCCTAAGAACCAGAGGAGGTCCTGGAGCCGCTGCGAGAGCATGCTGTGCTGCCAGTCGGTGAGGGGCAGTCGCAGCAGCAAGTGCATGAGGGCCGTTTTGAAGTGGTAAGAGGTGAGGACGGGGCGGGACGCTCCCGGGGGCAACGTCTGGTGGTCCTGAAGACTCAAAACGATCTGCAGGCACTTGAGGTGGCAGGTGTTCTCAGGGGCAAAGCGCCCCACCAGCTTCAGAAACAAGTGTTCGCAGGCCGCGAAGGACTCCGGCCAGTCCACGCTGGTGAGCTGCTCTTGCCCCGGGGCCTGACTCACCAGGTAGACCAACGTATCCTCCCGCTGCACCCCAAGAACCAAACTGATCAACAGAACGCGGCCCGAGCGGTAATCCAACCGGAGCTTGCAGGTGGTGGTGGTGGTGGTGGACGGCGGGAGAGTGAGCTTAAAGTCATACTTGTGGGCCACGAGGGCCCAGGCGTTGCTCACCATGTTGCGGAACCACTGCACGGTCTTACACACGTCCAGGTGCGAGCCGGTGCAGAGAGCCGCCTTGATGGAGCTCGTGCACTTGCTGGAGATGGCTGAGTGGTCCCTGTGGTGGTGCACCAGACACAGCACATCCCCCAGGACCTGCTCGTGCTTGCAGATGCATTCAGAGTCCACCTTCACAGAGCCGCAGCGCCGGCCCAGCGCCGGGTCTCTCATCTCCAAGACGAACATCGTGCCCTGCGGAGGGACGATGGGCACCAGGACATCGAACTTCTGGGTCTCGTGGAGGGTCCCCCACTTCTCAAAGGCAGCTCCAATGCCCAGGCAGTCCTCCAACTGCGGGTGAGCTTCCCGGCGGCTGAGCACCCGGCAGGCCTCAATGAGATCATCCACAAAGCTCTCCACAAACTCACAGGTGCCGGACAGGTCACGGATGGCACTCTGGATATAGTGTTTGTAAAAGGATTCCAGGGCTTCCTGGGAGGGGAAATCAGAGAGCCAGGTGTAAGAGGTGACGGGCACAACACGGATTTCTTCCTCTTCCTCCTCGCTGCTGGAGTCGAAGGCTGGTTCATGCTGCATGTTCTGCCGCAGGAGCTCAAAGATGAGGAAAAGGCAAAAGAGGCCTGTGTTCCACATGTTTCCCAGCATCCAGCCCAGAGGCCCCCCATCTTGGTCACTGGCCTGGAACGGCCATCCCATGTCCTTCTTCCCCAGCACTAACTGATCACTGGACGTGTCTCCTCTCCAGAAGTTCTCTGCTTTCTGCTTCTGCTCAGCGGCTCGCCGTCTCTCCTCAAACTCTATTTCTAGCTGCCGCATCTCCTCGCTCATTCGCTTCTCCAGCTGCCGACTCCTGGCTAGCGTGTCCAGGTCCATGCGGTCACTGACCATCAGGGGGTGGTGAACAACATACATCACTGCCAGGAACAGCAGGCTTATCACAGCCATGGAGGCCTCTGCATCTGGAGAAGGAGGAGGGTGGGGGTCAGCGGTGACTTGCCGGGCACATCTGTTCTCCCAGCACATAGTCCCCAGAGCCCTGGTACCTCAAATCCTGGGTGCCAGCTACTCAAGAGGAACAGAAAGTGCAGAGAGCTGGGTTTGGACGGAGCAAGAGCGGGGCTGCCTCGGAAGAGGTTTAGGGAAGGGAAGTGGAGACGGCAGGGTGTACCCTGAGCCAGCTGCTTTCCTTCCACATACTGGGGGTGGCATGTAGGCTGCCAGCGGGTGGGCATGAGACTGTTTTTATTCCTGTATAATATGGGGAGGGGGACCCTTACAGTAGGGTGGCCTCACCCGACTCATCTGTCCACCTTGGGCACCAGATATGCCCTGCCAGTCCCAGAGGCTCCCTTCCACAGGCAGAAAATACAGAATCTGTCTGGGCACTATCTTCCCCATCCTTGGGTAGCCAGCCTCAGTCCCCAGCTGCAGCATCCCACTTCCTCTGTGACTTCACAACCCTCCCCTGTGTGATTAGACCACTAAGCCTCACCACTGTGCCCTGCAGGAGCCAGACAGGCACTGGGCTGCCAACTCCCTGTGTACTGCAATGTGGTGCTGAGGCAGCTGCACCTCTCAGCCCAGGAAAGTGCAGAGCTCAGTGGCCAAGCCCCAACTGACAGACAGTAGCAGAGTTTCCCTGGCCCTCCCACCCAATCACTGAAGCCTGAAACTTCCGGCCTTCACCCCCATCAATTCACCAGCTACTGGGCTCCCGGAGTCACGAAGGGCAGTGCACCATGGATCTCGGGTTCAGGTGAGGGTCTCTCCTCCCTTTGGAGCTGAGCCCAACTGCTCTCTCCATGAGCCCTGTTCAAAATGACCAGAGCCGCGCGGGCTCTGCCTCAAAGTGGAGGCGCCCCCTCTGCCATTAGTAACTTCCCCAAATTCCACGCCCAGAGAGTGCAATCTCATCCATCTCTCCTGACCCAGTTAAAGACCCAGATTAAGGGTTTCCCTTGGAATTAGGGGCCACCTTACTCACGGTCTCTGTTAAGAGCAAGAGAGCATTCTTAAAGACACAGCGCGGCCTGGCCCCCGCTGCCTTCTTCCGGGCGTGCACGATGCTGCCAGTTCATAGCCGGCACCGACTACAAGCGTGGTCCCGACGCGCTCTTTCTGGGTACAGACCATGTCTCCAACAGTCCAAAGTCTGTGGACTGCTGGGACTACCACGCGGTGCTGGCCGCGGAGAACTCCAGCAAGCCACAGCGGTTCCCGCCTTAGGGGTTCCGCCCCGGGAGGCTCCACCCCTTGCTCAAAGCCACGGGGCGGGGCCCGGGGCAGAGGCTCAGCAGCGCCGAGGCCGTCCCTAAGGGCACGCACCTTTTGTCCCCAGTCCGTCTCCCTTTGAAGGGACAGCAGAGCATCTGTGGCTACCCTCTCACAGCTACTCCGCTTCGTGCGGTGGCACAAGGCTGAAGTGCCTGCTGCCACCCTCACCGCGTTCCTTCCTGGACGATGTATGCTTAAGGAGAACTTGGGTGGAAAGACGATGGAGACAGAGCTAGGAACTGACTGGGAAAAGCTGTTCTCACTTCTCTCTGACTCTATGCAAAGTGAAAAAGGAGGTGTGTTTAGATACCCGTAATGAGCATCACTTGATGGGAAGGATGACTCAGTGGGTGGAGCGCTTGCTGCCCAAGCATGAAAATAGGAGTTTGGGTCCCCAGGCATACACCTCTAACCCCAAAGCTGAAAGGACAGAGCTAGGCAGGTCCACTGAGTTCAAGTGGCCAATGAGTATAAGGTCTTATTAAGAGATCTTGTCTCTTGCCGGCCGGTCGCCGCTCAATTCCAGCACTTGAGAGGCAGAGGCAGGTGGATCTCTTGTGAGTTCAAGGCCAGTCTGGTCTACAGAGTGAGTTCCAGGACAGGCAGAGCTGTTACACAAAGAAACCCTGTCTCAAAAAAACAACAAACAAAAAGCAAAAAACAGAGAGAGAGAGAGAGAGAGAGAGAGAGAGAGAGAGAGAGAGAGAGAGAGAGAAGAGACCCTGCCTCAAAAAAGTAGAAATCCATACAGACACTGATATGTACCTATGTCCTCCACAGGTGCACACATACCCATGCAACACCACACAAACATGCTCCTACACAGGTGTGTGCATACACCACTATAGACCTCACCTCCAGACCATGCCCAGAATCATGTATCTTTCCCCAATCATAGTGACTCTTAGGAAAGGAGATCTGTCACTCAGAGTCCTTGGAGCCTTGTTCGCCACACTCACTAGTCACATAAAAGTAAGAATCCTAAATCTAGCCAGGCAGTGGTGGTACATGCAGTAGCAGGCAAGTCTCTTGAGTTCAAGTCCAGCCTGGTCTGCAGAAAGTGTTCCATTACAGCCAGGGATACACAGAGAAACCCTGTCTCAAAAAAGCAAAACAACAAAAAAATTTCTAACCCTTCAGGCAGCCCTGTTGATCATACATCATATCAAAGAGAACTTCATAAAGTATGAAGGCTAGATAAGGCTTAGTACATGTTAATGCTAACAAGGGGTTGGAGAGATGACCCAGTGGTTGAGAGCACTGATTGCTCTTCCAAAGGACCCAGGTTCAATTCTCAGCATCCACATGATGGCTCACAGCTGCCTGTAACTTGTGCATGTCACATATAGACATATGCAGGCAAAACACAAATACACAAAAAATAAATATGGAGAGACGGCTCAGCTGTAAAGGGTACTTGCTCTTCCAGAGGACACTTGTTTGGTTCCCAGCACCCACACGGTGGCTCATAACCATCTGTAACTCCAGGTCCAAGGAATCCAACAATCTAACACCCTCTTCTGTTGCTGGTACAGGATGTCTCTAGACACAGAATGCCCATCTATACAAGTGGGCAAAACACACATAAACAACTTTTAAAAGTAAATCAATTTTTTTTTTTTTTTTT